TTCCTAACAGTAGCAAAATTATAGTCATAAAGGAGCAATGGAATAATCTTATGGTTGAGGGTCCCCACAACATGAGGAGCTGTATCAAAGGGTCGCAGCATTAAGGAGGCTGAGAAGCACAGGTTAGAGTGTCCTGCCTATTTGCCATATTGCTTAAGAATATTCAATTTGCCAGGCAGCGGTGGCGCACGCCTTTAATCCCAGCACTCGGGAGGCAGAGCCAGGTAGATCTCTGTGAGTTCGAGGCTAGCCTGGTCTACAGAGTGAGATCCAGGACAGGCACCAAAACTACACCTGTCTCAGAAAAAAAAAAAAAAAGAATATTCAATTCTGCCACATAGTAAATAGTAAAACATACTCATGATTTAAACCCCATATATTTTATCTTTTTTAAAAGAATTTTAAGATTTATTTATTTATTATGTATACAGCATGTATGAGTGCAGGCCAGAAGAGGGCACCAGATCTCATTACAGATGGTTGTGAGCCACCATGTGGTTGCTGGGAATTGAACTCAGGACCTCTGGAAAAGCAGCCAGTGCTCTTAACCTCTGAGCCATCTCTCCAGCCCTAAAAGAAATTTTTTTTAATGCATATGGGTGTTTTGCCTGCGCATATGTCTGCATATCACGTGCATGCCTGGTGCCCTCGGGGGCCTGAAGAGGGTATCCAACCTCCTGGGACTGGAGCTACAGATGGTTGGAGATGCTGAGAATCGAACCTGGGTCCTCTGGAAGAGTACCCAGTGCTCTTTAACTACCGAAGCATCTCACCAGCCCCCTACATACCTATTTTGTGATAGTCATAAACCTGTAAGGCACACTAAGACAGACCAAGTGGGACCTGTGTGTGCTGACATGGATAGAAAAGAGTGACACCGGAGACAAAAAGCCACAGGTCCCCAAGTGTGACAGTCAATCCTCATGCTCAACTTGATTGGCTTAAGATCATCTCTGAAGCACACCCCAGGGCTCATCAACGGAGGAGGGAATTCCCACCCTGACCCTAAGGGGCTCTATCCCGTGGGCTAGGGCCCTGACTGAACAAGAAGCAAAAGGCAGACGTACGCCAGCATTCTTCACTCTCTCTGCTTCCTGACTCGCCACAACGTGAGCTGAGGAGGCAGCTTCACTCCGCTAAGGCCGCAGCCTCAGACCCGCCAGCATCATCCTTCCCTGCCATGACAGACAGTCTCCTCACGGTGTGAGCCAAACAAGCCCTCCTTTCCTGGAGTTCTTACTTGCCAGATACTGGGCACAGCAGCAAGAAAAGCACCAGACACAAATCACGCTGCGTCTAGATCTGAAGTTACGTCATCCTCAAACCGACCAAGAGCCTCACATATAGTCTACATAAAAATACAGACAACGCGGGTTCCAAGCAGATGGCTGCTAAGCCACAGCTACTGCAGGCACACGTGTGTAATTGTGGCACATAGGTGCATGATATAGTTTTGATGTTGAGTGACACTTGAGATAATGCTGCGTGCTGGTATTTTAAAATGTTTAAAGATACTTGCAACTGTAAACAGGATAAATACATTCAAAAATCTCTTTAAAGGTGATTGTAAATGTTTGCTAAACTTCAAAGAATGCCAAGGTAGACTTAAAACCCCAAAGATGGCCAGGAGGTGGCTCAGTATGTGAAGGCACTTGCCATCAAGCATGGTGTCTTAATTAAGTTTCTAGTGCTGTGATAAACACGTGACCAAAAGCAGCCTAGGGAGGAAAGGGTTGACTTGGCTTACAGTCCACCATCAGAGGAAGCCGAGGCAGGAACTCAAACCGGGAACTCAGAAGCAGGAGCTGATGCAGAGGTCTTGGGGGGGAGGGGGCTGCTCACTGGCTTGCTTCCCATGCTTGTTCAGCCGGCTTTCTTGTAGCATCCAGGCCACCTGTTCAGGGGTGGTACCACCCACAGTGGGCAAGGCCTTCCACATCATTAATCAAGAAAATATGGTTGTGGGATGTTTTGATCACACTCTGACACTCCCGAGACTGCCAATAAAGTTAAACCTTGAATCAGAGGGCGGAGTCAACATTCAGCTGGCCAGAACTAACCACAGAGTTTTTGGCCGACCCAGATTAGGATAGAGAGACAGAGGAAGGAATAGAGAGGGGCTTAGAAAGATTCACGGGCCTTTTCAATCTGGAAGTGTAGAGCAGGGTCAGCTGATCCATTGCTCTTTGGATCTACCAGGTTTTACTCCAATATCTGACTCCCAAGCTTTATTTATTAATAGAACAATATAAGTAATTGCTTCAAAATACCCTACAGATGGGCTGGAGAGATGGCTCAGCGGTTAAGAGCACTGGCTGCTCTTCCAGAGGTCCTGAGTTCAATTCCCAGCAACCACATGGTGGCTCACAACCATCTATAATGAGATCTGGTGCCCTCTTCTGGCCTGCAAGCATGCATGTAGGCAGAACACTGTATCCATAATAAATAAATAAATCTTTAAAAAAAAAAAAATACCCTACAGACTTGCCTACAGAAAATCTGATGGAGGAATTTTCTCAGTTGAGGTTCCCTCTTCCCAGATGACCCTAGCTTGTGTCAAGGTGACAAGAATCTAATCAGGGTATGGTGACCTGAGTTTGATTCCTGGGAGACACTTGGTAGAAGGAGAGAACTGAGTCCCTCAAGTTATCCTCTGACCTCCATACATGCTACAGCATGTGCACACACACATATACACAAATAAATAAATGTGGTAAAATAAAAAATAAATACCCAAAGAAGAATAGGCAACCATATCACACAAGCTTTTCATAGATTAAAAAAAAATAATAAAGTAAATATAAGCAATTTCATGTGATTTAACTAAATGATCATTTGCTATTTGTTTTTAAAATAATTCTTTCAAAAGTAAGTATACCGACAGGCGGTGGTGGCTCATGCCTTTAATCCTAGCACTTGGGAAAGAGGCAGGAGAATCTCTGTGAGTTCCATGACATTCAAGCCTATCCAGAGAAACCCTGTCTCATCAAAAAGATATTGTCTCAATACTTAGTCTCCTGATACCAAACACAGTCAGCCACAAGTACTGCTGACTAGACTCAGTTTAACAAAACCTTTTCCTGTTTAGAAACTCAAAACCAACAAATGAAAACCATTCATTTGTTCCTCTGGCAACCAGAAAGGATATGAGTATTGAGCATCAGTTAAAACGTTGCCACTCAGCCACTGGTGGCTTTGCCACTCGGCTTCCACTCCTTTCAAAAGCAACAATGGAGGTAAGAGGCTCTAAGCATCAGGTGAGCCGTGTGTGAGACATCTCCACGGACCTGACCAATGGCCTTGCCCTTGTCATCAAGTGTAGAAGGTCAAACGAAGTTTTGTGAACATTCTGGAGAGAATGCGGGAGTCTCAGGACACCAGCCAGCTCTCGGGCCTGCTTGCCAATCCCCACTCACACCAGCCAGCCAGTCTCTCTCTCCTTTCCTGTCCTTCCCATCCCCAGTTCTCCTTCCAGACCTTGCACACCGCTCAAGCGTCCCCTGGTCTCACCTCTCTCTTTTCTATTCTCTCCTCCCAGCAGAATGTCTTCTGGATGATCACCAAAAGATAAGGATCCCACGAACTCAGGTGTGAGCAGCGGGGTCCCCAAAGGGCAGGCAAGAGGCACACAGTGGACAAGCGAGAGCGGGAAGCCAAGCCTGGCTGGCCACAGTCAGAGCCAGGAGACCCCCAGGCTGGGGGAGAGGCAACCGACCGCCACCTTAAGGACAAGGACTGCACTTCATGGGCAGGTTGCCACCAAAGCTTCAGCAAGAGCGGGGTGTGCTCCGGACCAGAACTCTGGCCATCGAGGGGAAAACCAAAAAGAGCCACAAGACAAGACAGGACAGATTCCCAGTTTAGACAGAAGACTCAAGGCGTGTGGTGAGGAGCCGTGAAAATGAAGACGCACAGCGAACGCACTGGGGGGCTGGGTCGATCAAACTTGTAACTTCATGGAAGAGAGAAGGAGGTGAAGAGGAGTCGATTTCTCTCTCTCTCTCTCAAGCAGATGATAAACAAGGTTTGGACCTGTGTCTGAGTCTGAAGTATTTCCAGTAAACTCCAGCCAAGACATCCAGGAAGGAGGCAATTATGGAAGTCAGCCCTTTGGGGTACCAGGAAAAGGACGAGATAAGGAAGAGAATACCAGGATGGACCAGACCACCTGGGATAGAACACGGGACACTGTTGCCCAAGTACATTTCACTCTCACACTCAGTGGGTGGAGGCACTTGCTGCCAATCCCAGCACTCAAGCTGGATCCCTGGGGGCCAGCACAGCAGAAGAAGAGAACCGAGTCCTGGCAAGCAAACCTCAAACTTCATGTGCTAACTTCACATGCACACAGTCAATCAATCAATCAATCAGTCAGTCAGTCACTGTAAAAGAAAGCAAACTAACAACAACAACAAAAAAAAACTATATAAAGTGTAAAAAAAAAAAAGGGGGGGACTGGGGAAAAGGCTCCATTGGTTACCTGCTCACCATGCTGCACGAGAACCTGAGTATAACCCTAGCACCAAGTTAAAATCCAAGCCAAGAGTGATGCTGCTCCTTCAAACACTTTGGGAAGGTGGAGACCGGCAGACTGCTGAGCCTCAGGTCCCAGTGCCAGACCATCTCAAACACAAGGTGGACAGAAACTGAAGATACCCAAGGTTGTCCCCGGCCTCCACATGCACCGAACACACAAACACACATGCACAAACACACACACAAATGCACGTACATGCACAAGCAAAAACAGATGACACTAATTTTACTAGTGTATTTTACATATATATATATATATATATATATATATATATATCTCCTAATATACCCCCAAAGAAAGGAAGCCACCCATAAAGCCCAAGAAAGAACATTCATTAAAAATAAATAAATAAATAAAATAATAAATAAATAAATAAACAATAAAAATTTTAAAAAAAGAAAACCCACTCAGGTGTGGCCGAAGACACACCCTTAAGGTCCCACCAGTAGAGCATGGCACTCACTGTTTCTGGAGACGATGGCTTCTGGAAACTGTCGCCTTGTGCCCAAATGCTCTCTGTCACAAATGCTATGTGCTCTGCCTCAAGTATGAAGGGAGAGACAAGAAACAGGGCCCATTTGTTCAAGTCATCAATAGACTACAAAGAAAGAAAAGAAAAAGAGGACTCAGTGTCATTCCAGGCCCCGATGGCCACTTACCTCCACAGCCTGGCATACATACCCTCCCCCTGCTTCCTCAGGTAAGACCTACACATGTATCCGATACACTTCTGCAGACCCCTCCAACCAAGCATCAGACCGTGGGGGTTTAAACCGCTGTATGGTTCCTGGTCTGGCTCACAAGGATTTCAAAGTCTCTGGATATCTGTTCCATGCAGGTAATTCTGACAGTTTCTTTCAGCTTAACAAGTATGAGCGCTCCGAGTCACTGGAAAGTACGTGTACAGTGAGGCTTGGAAGCGCATGCCTGGCAACTTCTCAAAGTCACATAATCGTCAAACCCAGAGACTAAGCGACTTCAGGAAAGGGCCTTTCCAACGTGCTTTAGAGGAAATGTGGACCCCAGTGGGGTTTTTAATAGCGGATTAGATGACTGGTTAACAACCAGAGTAGCTGGCCCTTCTCACATGTTCAAACAAAAAAACAACTGTCCTCTATACAAATAAACACACTTTTGTTCTTACCATTAATCCCTAAACTACACTGTGTAATAACCATTTCCACAGCTTTTGCCCTGGATCAGGTATGGGAGACCTAGAAGGACTCAAACATAGGCAGGACCCACACAGAACGCAAAGATCATGTCACTGTATACAGGGACTGGCCATCCTCAGGTGTGGGGAGCTTGTTTAGGTGAGCTATCAGCCTTGAAATTCCAGTTCCTTTATTTTCAGATTTCTGGGAGGAGGACTGTAATTTGATTTTAGAAGGTTTCAGTCTGCCAAGTGGTGGTGTCTTACACCTTTAATCCCAGCACTTGGGAGGCAGAGGCAGGCGGATCTCTTAGTTCGAGGCCAGCCTGGTCTACAGCTCAAGTTCCAAGATACCCAGGGCTACACAGAGAAGCCCTATCTCCAAAAAAAAAAAGGGACACCCAGAGCAGAGAAAGCAGGACTCTAAGGCTGCAAGAAGAACCTTCTCAGAACCACAGCCCTGCATAAAACAGACAGCAGTGAGGTATGAGCAAAGCTCCGGGCTGAGAGACAAGGGGCTGCCTGTGCAAAGCAGGGGTGCGACATGGGGCAGGTATCCACAAGGCCGTCCCCACTTGGGGTAAGAGCCAAGTAACCCGTTTAGCGTAGTGAGCAGGCCAAAGGGGTCATGAAAATGTTCAAAGGTGTCTAGGAAAACTTATTTCTCAAAATTTCTACTCTGATATAACCGCAAAGGTTTTGTGTTAAATAATCAGCTTAGAAACCACCCCAATGGAAAGATCCACCCTCACTTTTCTCCAGTTCTGTGATCTCTATCAAGCAGTCTAAGAGAATTTAGGCCCGATGTTCTAAGAGGAGCAGTGTCAGCTTCCACCACACCTGTCTTGTTCCAGGAGGTGCTAGTCACGGCTAGACAAAGTGTCTATATACTTAGGACACCTGAGAACCCTGAGTGTTGTTCACACTGTAGTTCCCTTACACTTATTTGTGTGTACAAGTGTCTTGCCACCTTGTGTATGTGTGCACCTGCGTTCCTCGGATCCCCTGGAACCAGAGCTACAGATGGTTACAAGTCACCTTGTGGGGACTGGGAACTGGACACGAGTACTCATGGGGGCAACAAGTGTTCTGAACCCCTGCACTGTATTTTTTTTTAGTTAGAGTGTTGTCTTTGTTAATTTCCTGGAAGCACAATTCCATCCCCATACCTAAGCAGCTTGACAAAAATATCCAGCCTGAAGTAAGATTGTGATTCCTATATGGGTGTTATGGTTTGACATCTATGAAAAAGAACACTCATTTTAGTGCTAGAAGTGAGGCAGCTTTCCAGAAGGAAGCGGAACGGGGGAAAGGCCGTTGAGAAGCAGAACACTGTGTGATGTTCACAAAAACAAGTGATGTCCAGAAGCACAGGGTAGGAAGTACACTGTGCAGTCAGGTCCCTCGCCTGCAGCCGGCCTGTGCAAACGTTTGGCCGTTGTCCCCTTCCCAGTGAGGGGGCCGCGGCCATCACCCTCGGCACTGGTCCAAAAGCCAGCCCACGGAAACGCGAGGGTGCCAAGTGGGGTGTCCGGGGTGTCCCCGCTACAGCTGCAACCGACAGAAGACGCCGCGGGAGGGGCAGCTGGCCCGCGGCCGACGGCGCACGGCAGGGATTCCCGGGCTCCAGTCCACGCCAAGGCTTGCGCGCGCGCGCGGCCGGGGTGCAGACGCCGCCGCGCCGGGGTGCAGACGCCGCCGCGCGCCCGCTCCACGCAAAGGCGCCCCCGCCCGCCGCCCACCTGGCTCTCGCCGACGCAGAAGACGCGGCCGCCGCGGCTCAGGCACACGCGCGCGCCCCCGGGCTGCGCGGCGGCACGGCAGAAGGTGAAGGAGCAGCGCGAGGCGCGCAGCCGCCGCACCGTGGAGAGCACCAAGGCGGCCGGCCGGCGCCCCCAGCGCGCCCACAGGTACAAGTAGCACAGCGTGATGAGCATGGCCGGCGCCCGCACCCGGCCCGCGCCAGGCCCCGCCCCGGCCGGAAGCCGGGCTTGGGGAGGGGGTGGAGTGCGCGTGCGCTGCGGGAGGGGCGGGGCGGGGCGGGGTGGGGGCGCCGGCCGGGGAAGGATGCAGGGGAGGGATGCGCTGGGGGTGCAAGGGATGCGGGTTGGGTAGGAGCTGGGGGCGCCGGGACTACGGAGAGGGTGACGCGGGGACGGAGGGGCTACGGGAATGGAAAGGCCGGGCCAGGACTGAGGATGGCCCTGGAAGAGAGGTTACTGACTCGTCTCAGGAGGCCGGCTGTTCAAGACAGGAGTCGGGAGGGAGGGAGGGAGAAGACAGGAAAGTGGAGGTGTGCCCTAAAGATGGAGAGACCCAGGCTGCACCACTAGAGGGAACTGGGGAGGTGACCGAAGCTGTGCTGGTAACTTACAGGAACAGGGGCATGGAGGAACCTGGAGAGGCCACTGCGGGGGGTGGGGGGGTAGGGGGGTGATGGAGGGGAGAGTTTGATGGGGAGAGGGGGTGATGGACAAGGGAGAGTTTGATGGGGGGAGGGGGTGATGGACAAGGGAGAGTTTGATAGGGGGATGGGGGTAATGGAGGGGAGAGTTTGATGGGGAGGATGGTGTGGAGAGGGAGAGTTTGATTGGAGGGGTGATGGAGAGGGAGAGTTTGATGGGGGGTGATGGGGGGTGATGGAGAGGGAGAGTTTGATGGGGGGTGATGGGGGTGATGGAGAGGGAGAGTTTGATGGGGGGTGATGGGGGTGATGGAGAGGGAGAGTTTGATGGGGGGAGGGGGTGATGGAGGGGAGAGTTTGATGGGGGGATGCCTAACCTAATCAAGTCAAAGTCCACCTCATGTCAACAGCCAATATTTGCTAATTATCTACACATTACAAATTAGAGAGCTAACACAGCCTCTATCTGGCCCAGCTGGAAAAAGAGGTGAGGCCATTTGATAATCTCATGCTAAGCCTTCAAAAGTACTACCAGGCAAATTACATGAATTCATATGGTGCACCAAAAGAGACAACATGTCTGCTACCAGTTTAACTGTGAGCCCAGTGGAAGAAGAAAACATCAGGTACAATTCACAGCGGCCTTGTCCCAGGGGAAACACAACGCCCAGCAGTTAAGAACAGCGGTTTTCTTCCCTTAAGCCTCTCACCTACAATGCCTCCGAGCAGCTGTGTCCAGTGGCTTGCTGCCTGACCCTTGCTCCCCCCGTAAATAGACAGCATAATTAGTTAAAAACCATCAGGTGTACCTCTCCCAAGTTTTGCCTAATCCAAGAATAGATTTTTGAAGTACACTGGCCAAGGATCTGTCCACTCACCCTGGGCGGTGGTGGCACACGCTTTTAATCCCAGCACTCAGGAGGCAGAGGCAGGTGGATCTCTGTGAGTTTGAGGCCAGTCTGGTCTACAGAGTGAGATCCAGGACAGGCAAAGCTACACAGAGAAACCCTGTCTAGAAACGCACAGAACCCCAGACTTTTAGTCAGATGGTATAGCAACAATAGATTTAACGGGAGTGTCCAAAAACAAATGACTGGGCTCATAAACAAGGTGCACGTCACTGAGAACAAGAAGACAGGGGGCTGGAGAGATGGCTCAGAGGTTAAGAGCACTGGCTGCTCTTCCAGAGGTCCTGAGTTCAATTCTCAGCAACCACATGGTGGCTAACAACCATCTGTAATGAGATCTGGTGCCCTCTTCTGGCATGTAGGCAGAATACTGTATACATAATAAATAAATAAATCTTAAAAAAAATATAGATGAGGTCAAGCTGAAAATTAAAAAAAAAGAAGAAGAAGACAGACTAAGGGATGCAAAGAGTACACTCCCCTAGTGGAAGGGAATTCCTGCAGGGAACTAGTTTGTGCTGGATAATTACACGTCAACTTTGTAAGCCAGGGTCACTGGAGGGAGCCTCAATTGAGAAAATGCCTTCTTAGGATTAGGCTTTAGGCAAGCCTGTAGGGCAGTGGTTCTCAGCCTCCCTAATGCTGCAACCCTTTAGTACATTTCTTCATGTTGTGGTGACCCCTACACACATAAACTTGGGGAGGAAAGGGTTGTTTCAGCCTACGTCACCAACGGAAGCCAAGGCCGGAGACTGAAACGGAAACCGTGCTCACTGTCACTTACCACGGCTTACTCTGCTGCCTCTCCTCTACGGCGCAGGCCCACTTACCCAGGGCTGGCACAGCCCACAATGCCGTGCCACCACAGAGCTACATCTCTATTCTGATTCACTTTTATTTTTACTGTGTATTAAAAGAAAACACAGAGCTGACTGAAAATATTTTTCTGATCCCCAAATAAGAAAACATTAACTAAGATACCAAGTACACTGGGCCACCCAGATGACCTAGCCTGATGACCCGAGTTCAGTCCCTGAGACCCACATTGTAGAAGGGGGAAAAAAAATCTCATAATTTGTCCTTTGACCTCCACACATATGCTGTTGCATGTGTGCTCTCTCTCTCTCTCTCTCTCTCTCTCTCACACACACACACACACACACACACACACACACACACACATACACACACACACACACACACACACACTCACACTTAAAAACTACCAAGAACATTAATTACAAAGGAAATGGCGAATACACTAAAATTAAGATCATCGGGCTGGAGAGATGGCCCTGCAGATAAGAGCACTGGCAACTCTTCCAGAGGACCCGGGTTCAGTTCCCGCACCCACACTGTGGCTCACAGCTGTCTGTGACTGCAGCTCCAAGGGATCCAACACCCTTTTCTGGCTTCTTGGAAACCAGGTACACACCTGGTACACAGACATACATGTAAGCAAAACACATACAGACATAAGAGAAAAACTTCTAAAAATAAACGTAAATCAAGACCCTCCATTTATTTAGAGGCACTATTACCAAGGGACACACTCTGACAGGAGAGGGAGCATCTAAACAGAAGTAATGGATAAAGGGTTCAGATCTGGAGTAAACCAAGAATGCCCAATTGTAAGAAGAAGAAGAGGACGAGCACGTCACAGGCAGATGACTGACAGCCTGATGCTCGGCTCCCAGATGTTAGGAAATACAATCCTGATGAGAACCGGTTTAAACCCACCTGACTAGCCCTGTGAGTCCACTTTTGTCCCCACCGCAGCAGCACTGTGCTGACCAGGTTTTCACTAGACAATAGAAACAGACAGAGGAGACCCGCTGGAGCTTGGTGAGGGTGCAGGGGGCCAATGAGCAGGACGGATACCTCTGCCTAGAGACAGATGTGCAGGGCAGCCACTGAGAGCAGCTGACTCTGCCACCACCACAGGGCTGGGCAGAGAGAAAGGGCAGTCCCCTTAGCTCCAGGGCTCAGGTCACATGATGGAAATCAGAACCCCCAGTCTCTTCCCAAGGAAGCTGGAACTCCAGAGGACCAAGACACCAGCAGGGGAAGGACGGGGGAAAGCTCCCTCCCTGTTCTTGTGGCCTAAGAGCCCTGTGACTACAGCTCCTTGGAATCAAATGGCGGAGGCTTTGGCACCCATGCGGTGGAGGCAAGGGCAGGAGATGGGGGACAGCCAGCCTCCGAGCGTTCTGAAATGACTCCAGGACTCTTTCAACGTTCCAAGTCCCGTTTCTAGTCCAGTGTTTATGGGAACTGTGGCCATCCTAACTCATACACTGAAGTCCTAACCCCTGGAACTTCACAAGTAGCCACTGTTATGCCCAGATTGCAGGGACTCCCAAAAGACCACCACGGAGACCGAATCCCACATGTAAAAGCAAAGAGCCTTTATTTCAAGCTTGGTCCCTCTGTCTGTCCGACACAGCGGTGAGAGCAGAGAGCCCTGAGCTCAGGTGGGGCAGAGTTTTTAATCATAGCAGAGGTTTGGGTGAGGGGATTTCTAGGGTCCAGGACCCTGATTGGCTGACAATTGTCTAGAGATATTGGTAAAACAAAAAATAAGTGTGTGCTAGACTCAGGGACATGTGGCCACCTTACCTAATGGTTGGAATGTTTGGGATGTCAGGTACTTCCTCACCCCGGGTGGATCTCTGGGTAGTATCAGCTTAAGGCTTTTCCTGGATCTGGGTGTTGCCTGCCAGTAAGCCTGTCACAGAAGCTGTGTCTGGGTCTAAGCCTGTCATGGCTGCTGTGTGGTCAAGCTGTTTTGGGGCCCCTCCACAGCCATATTTAGAGGTAAAGCCTGAGAAGAGGCAATTAAGGTAAAAGGAAGGCATATGAGTGCCCCCTAATCCAGCAAGTGTGAACAGTGTCCTTACAAAGGACATAGACATGCAGAGGACACAGAGATATCATCTATACCCAAGGAGAGGAGCCTCAGACAGAAATCAACCCTGGCTGCCCCTCCATGCTGGATTTCTAGCTCCCATGCCCTGTGGTACTTTGTTGCAGCGACCTCGCAGATGGGTGCCTTTGAATCACCAGGCCTGGGTGAGTCTTTGCTCCAACCCCCCTCCCAATATTCATTATCTGCCTTAAGGATCCCGCCCACCCTGCTGGCTTCAGCCACCCCCACCCCCCACCACCACTGTGAAGCTTCCTGTCCCAGGCTTCAGTGCCACATTGTCACCTCCACACCTCTACACTCGCATAGCCAGATGGCACTTCAAAGGCAACTTGAATGAAACCAAATGCATTTTTCTCCAACAAGTTGGCTCTTGATCTCTTCTCTGTAGTCTGTGCTTGCAATGGTGTGGTCTCCGTTATGCTATCGACCAGAATTTAGTCATGTTGGAGCCCTAACTTCCTCTTGCCCCCCATAACGTGTTTCTACAGCAGGATGGCGACCACGTTTAATCTTTCCGCTCCTAGAAATGAACAAAACGGCACCTCCTTGGCGGTGCCCTTCTGCGGTCCTGCCGCTGCGTCATCCAGCTAGCCTACATTTGACTTCCTAGGGAGCCGGCTCAGATCTTGCTGATCCCTGACCTCGGGGAGCTCTGGCGTTTAAGGCCATACACTATGCCTGCCTAGCCTCACCTCCCGTTCATTCACTCGCCACTCCACATTCACCTGTACCCACCACACACCTGGCGCTGTGCCAGTCATTTCATACACTCGGGCCTCTCAGTGAGCTTGTGCTGTGACTTGATGCTGTTTGTCCCTGAAGGGTCATGTGCTACAGCAGCACTTCTCAACCTGTGGGTCATGACCCCCTTGGGGATCTTTTACAGGCGTCGCCTAGGACCATCAGAAAACACAGATATTTACATTAAGATATTCATAACAGTAGCAAAATTACAGTTATGAAGCAGCAATGAAAATACTTTTATGGTTGCGGGGGGGTGGGGGGGGTCACCACAGCATTAAAGGGTCACAGCATCAGGAAGGTTGAGAACCACTGTGCTGGAGGCCTGGTCCCCAGTGCCGCAGTAATGGGGGCAATGGAACATTTAAGTCAGAACCAGCAGCATGCACGTGCAACCTTCTTACATTGCGGCAGACACTTCCATCGCAAAGCTTCACACTTCAGAACTGGACAGCTACCAGGAAATAAAAAACCATCTCACAGTGTTGTCAGTAGTTTATGATTTTGTGTTGGGCTGCATTCATAGCTGTCCTGGGGCTGCAGGATGGACCTGCCCACCTAGAAGAAGGCAGGTAGGTCACGGGGGATTGCCATCCCCAGAGAGGACTAGTGTAATGCCCACCGGACTCAGGTCAGCTCTCTCAGAATGTGATGCTGCACACAGCAGCAGGGGTACTTGCACATGCCTGTTTCCCTCTGTTTCCCAGAGAGCCCTGCAGAGGCCAGACTGACTCACGGGGCAGCCTAACCTTGGCCTTCAGACCCAAAACTGTCAGCTGAATAAACTTCATTTATTCATTACCCAGCATCCAGTTTTTGTTACAATAACATGAAACAGAGAGGCATAGTGACTCAAGCTGCATGGGAGGCTGAGGTAGAGGATCATTTCAGCCCAGAGGGTCAAGACCAGCCTGGGCATAGAAGGAGATCCCTCCATCAAAAAATAAAATGAAATACCAGAAAACCGATATACTCTGGCTATTATGGCCATCTTCCTGCAGAGGATAAAAGTGGAATTTAGAATAACTTACCCCAGGTCTCAATACCCAGTGAGGAAGCTAAGGTATGACTTTATGGCTTTCCAGCTCCCTGGATAAGTGCCATCTGTGGGCGAAGAATGTGCTGCTGTACATGGCAACCCACAAAGACGAGAATCAACAGCCAAGAGCCAAGACGTGTGCTGTGGCTCAGGAGGTAAATGCACTTGCCACACAAACCGGAAGATCCGAGTTCAGTCCCTGGAACCGACATAAAAGACTACACCGTAATCGTCCTCTGTCCTTCAATACATGCTGCTGGCACTCACAGCTGCTGACACACGTGTATACACTTCATCCTCCTCCTCCTCCTCAAGATCCACAAGCCAACCTTACAGAAGGTTAGGGACAGCCTTTTGTATCCAGATTAGAGGAGCTGGGACTGTCCCTAACTTGGGCACACCCAAAAGCTGTGGGTGGGAATTATCAAGGTCACCTGGGGAGACACTTAGCTCTGAAAGTGCAAGTGCATGCTGTAAGGAAGAGGAAGCCTGGGATGGGCTTTCTGTACAGTAGCTGAATGTCAGTAATTCACTGCCAGCTGCAGGAACTTCAAGTAATGGGAAACTAAAGTTAAAAATTAAAGGTCTCGGCAGCCAGGAGTGGTGGCTCATTGCCTATAATCCTACTGTTCAGGAGACAGGAGTATCACTGTCAGTTTGAGGCCAGCCTTGAGTGCCCAGGTGGCCTAGCATAGAGTAAGACCCTGTCTGAAAAAGAAAAACTTCAATTAAAAGCTTAATGCCAGGCACAGTGGTATGTGTCTATGACCCCAGCACTCAGGAGGTGGAGGCTAGCCCAGACGACAAAGGGAGTGCCAGGCCAGCCTGAAACATAATGAGAAACTTGCTTAAAAAATAAGGCTGGCACAATGCCTCAGCAGGTGTGGTGGTCTGAATGAGGATGACCCCCAGAGGTTCATATAGTTGAATGCTTAGTCATAGGGGAATGGAACTGTTTGGGGAGGATTAGGAGGTGTGGCCTTGTTGGGGGAGGTGTGTCACTGGGAGTGAGCACTGGGGTTTCAAAAGCCTATAGGCCCAGTCTCTCTCTCTCTCTCTGTCTCTGTCTGTCTGTCTGTCTCTCTCTCTCTCTCTCCCTCCCTCCCTCCCTGCAGACCAGGATGTAAAGCTCTCAGCTACTGCTCCAGTGCCATGCCTGTCTGCTCCCTGCCATTATGGTAATGAGTGAATCCTCTAAAACCGTAAGAAAGCCTCAGTTAATTAAATGCTTTCTTTACAGGAGCTGCCTTGGCCGTGGTGTCTCTTCACAGCAACAGAACAGTGACGAAGACAATGACAGAGCAGCTTGCTGAGCAAACCTGGTGACTTAAGCTCAATCCCAGGAACCCACGCGCAAATGGGAGACGAGAACCAACGCCATAAACGTGACCTCTGACCTTCAAGAGCAGTGGCACATGGGTGCACACACATTAATTAATTAAATGAAGGTTTGAAACACAATGTGGAATCCTGGGTTGGATCCTAGATCAGAAAAAAAGGACAGTAGAGGGGGAAATTGGTGAAACTTGGAACCCACAGTTCAGTTCATGTGTTGCACTAACATTATTGAGTTAGGATTGTGTAAGATGTCAACACTGGTGGAAGCTGAGAAGAGTTGAGAAAGAACTCTCAGTACTATCTTGGCAACTCTTTTGTAAGTCTAGCATGATTTCATTAGCACTCCTTTTCTGTTCCTAAATAGCTATGTAGCTGTGAGCAAGTTACTTCATCTTACTGGGTCCCAGTTTTTCACCTATTAAATTAATAATAATAATAATAATAATAATAATAATAATAATGAAGCTGAGTGGTGGTGATGCATGCCTTTAATCCCAGCACTCAGGAGGCAGAGGCAGGGGGGAATCTCTGAGTTCAAAGCTAGCCTGTTCTACAAAGTGAGTTCCAGGACATCCAGGACTGTACAGAGAAACTCGGGGTCTCAGAAAACCAAAAATAAAGAAATGAAATGAAACGAAAGCCAGGCATGCTGATGGAGGCATGCAGTCTTACTCAGGAGGCTGAGGTGGGAGGATCAGGCATTAGAGGCCAGCCGGGGCCACAGAGATAGCCTCTCATCCTGAGTCAGCAGGACGGTTTCATGGGTAAAGAGCTTGCTGTGCAGGCCGATGGCCTGAGTTCAACCCCCTAGAACTCATGTAAGGGTACAAGGGGTGAATGAACTCTACAAGGTTGCTCTGACCTTTACATGTACCACCATGGGATGCATGCACCCATGTACATTTTTTTAAATTTATTTTTGGTTTTTCAAGACAGGGTTTCTCTGTGTAACAGCTCTGGCTGTCCTGGAACTAGCTCTGTAGACCAGGCTGGCCTCACACTCACAGAGATCCGCCTGCCTCTGCCTCCCAGGTGCTAGGATTAAAAGTGTGCACCACCACTGCCCAGCCATGTACATTTTTTGTAAAGAAATCACATGGGGTAGGAGAGACGGCTTGGCAGTTAAGAAAGCACACTGCTCTTGCAAAGGGTCCAGATTCCATTCCCAGCATCCACATGGTGGCTCACAACCATCCATAACACCAGTTCCACGGGATCAGTTGGTCTCTTCTGGTCTCTGCAGGAATGCATGCACATGACACACACATACATATATTCAGGGAAACACTCTTCACATAAAATAAAAAATTTTAAAATAAAAGAAATATTACTTTTGGGCCGTGGTGGAGCACACCTTTAATCCCAGCACTTGGGAGGCAGAGCCAGGCGGATCTCTGTGAGTTCGAGGCTAGCCTGGTCTACAGAGCGAGATCCAGGACAGGCACCAAAACTAGACAGAGATACCCTGTCTCAAAAAACCAAAAAAAAAAAAAAAAAAAAAAAAAGAAAGAAATATTGCTTTAAAAAAAGAAAACCTCCCAATCTCAATTTTTTTAAAGGAGAAACACAAACTTAGATAGTTTCCAGTTGCTTCCCTCTGCACCCCCCACTCTGGCGCTCAGATCCCTCCCTACACAGCTGCAAGATGACTGACTCAGTTTGCGAGGCATCTCCACATCCCTGGTGTTCAACACTATGCCTGCACCAGTGAGTGCTCAACACAAGTTTCTGCAACTAAAACTCCATTTTTTTTCTCCCAAGTAGGCACAACTGACATCTCTTTTGCTTACTCGGCTACTAGAAAGCAAAGTGCTCACAAAACTTTGTACATTGCAAGTAAATCCATCTTCACCCAGCAGGGGAGAGTGGATGGACCTTTACAACCACAAGTCGGCACCTGGGTGGAGGAGGGAGGCCCCATCCAAACAATCAGAGGGGACCTGGGGGTGCGGGGTGAACAGACACAGCTTCCCGGTGAGAGCCCAGAGCTCACTTCCTCCTGCCCACCTTCCAGCATTCAAGGGTTTCCAAATCAAAACCCCCTTCGTGGATGGTGGATGGAGCTGAAAAAGGGTGAACCCCACTCCCATTTCCTCAACAGGGGTGAGGTGTCCCCCACATTCGTAAACTGTAAACACAAGTGCCAGCCAAGAGAAGCTGACTACTGAAGAGGCAGAGAGAACATGATGCAGCTGGACTGAACTGGCTTCCAGATTTTGGCCCTGAAAAAAATGATAGTATCCAGACCTGGTAGAGCAAAGCCAAAGGGTCCCCGCTGTGAAGAAATTATTCCTGTCTATAAATAACTCCCCCTACGGGGACAAACAGAAACATCAAAGGCTGGACACTCGAGCAGGAGCCAGGCTGGGCTGGCCGGCGAGCCCCTGGGGAACTAGAAAGGGAGTGTGTCCCCAGCGGGAGCTACCGTCAGCAGGCAGCACGTACCTCTAAGGCCCGGGAGTCCACGGCCCCTCACGGGTGCTCCTGGCCCACGGGGCTCCTGGCCCACGGTGCCCCTGGCCCATGCTACCGGCAGCTCCAGGAGCCAGTAAATCGGCGAAATGCACGGGAGTGGGGCGGTGCGTCTTCACCAACCACGACGCAGGTGGCGGCCTCGTGAGCAGGAACGGACCCTGGGAAAGGGCCAGATCCCTGCGGCCCCAGATCCTGGCCACACCCCAGCCAGGCTCGGGCAGTGCCAGGGCTACCTCTGGCCACTCTCGGCTGAGACTCGAGACACCACCAGGGCCCGCTGCACACAGGGTCGCTCCTCAGAAGTGTGACCTGCCCTACAGGGGGGCGAAGGGTCCCTGCTTGTCCTTCAGGGCTGCTGGCCTCAGAGGTCACAACGTCACCCGCCTTGTGGGAGCCTACTGACCCTGTAATGGATGGCTTGTGCACCTGTGCCTGCGTGCCTTTGTGAGAACCCTCTGCGGTGGACGCTAGGACTGTTTCCCAGGCACACTAATAAACCCGGTGCAAAGTTTTGCTGAACCGGTGAGGGAGAAGCCAGCCCCTCTGGAGAAGTTCCTCCTCCCTCCTCTCAGCTGAGAGGAGGAGGTTCTGACTTAACACTCTCCACCTTCCCCTTCTCACCCTAGGGATGGGGAGGCCTGAGAGGGTCTTGATTCTGACCTCTGAACCCTGATCCCTTCCTTTTCAGGTCAACAGTTTCAAGAAGCCCCCACCCCATGTTTCCAGACTCGAGAATTTTGTGTGCTACTACTGCTACTGGGCACTGAACTTCAGAGTCTCAGGCACCCTAGGTACACTGCTACTACTACTACTATACAAACACACACACACACTCACACACACACACACACACACACACACACACACACACACACACACACACACGCCTTTGTGTTATTATTTTCAAACAAGGTCTTACTAGGTGATATGGGGGACTATGAGGACAGAATACAGGGGATGTGAGGACTATGGGGACAGAATACAGGGGATGTGAGGACTATGAGGACAGAATACAGGGGATGTGGGGACTATGGGGACAGAATACAGGGGATGTGAGGACTATGAGGACAGAATACAGGGGATGTGAGGACTATGGGGACAGAATACAGGGGATGTGAGGACTATGAGGACAGAATACAGGTGATATGGGGGAAGAACTATGGGGACAGATAGGAGAATACAGGTGATGGGGGGGAGACTACAGGGAGGGAGGTTTAGTTGGAGAGGGATGGAGGGGTAGGTATGAGGAGGAGATGGGGAACAGAAAACTAACACTAAGGATATTTAGGAAACCCAAATGGAAACCTATTATTTTATGTATATTTGTTACTTTTCTGATAAAACATGTCTTCAGATGCAAGCATGAAGCAGATGGTGAACCGGAAATGGGGGGAGGCTATGAAGTCTCAAAGCGTACTTCCTCCGGCAAGACCACACCTTTTAACCTCCCCAAACAGCACCACCAACTGGGTACCACGAGTTCAAATACATGAGCCTATGAGGGGCATTTCTAATTCAAACCACCACAGCAAGCTTCGTGTGTGTGTGTGTGTGTGTGTGTGTGTGTGTGTGTGTGTGTGTGTGTGTGTGTCTGCCTCCTGAAGCCATAGGTTAACAAATAAAAACCCCAGTACCAGGTACAGGATACCTCCCCTTGAGTTGTCGGTCAGAAGTGTCCCAGAGCCCCCCAAATGACACAAGCTATTGCTGTGTTCTTGACTGACCCTCAGCACTTGATGGTAAGACCCTATTGCTGAAGACGACACACAGTGGTCACTGGACATGGAGAAATCAAGTTAGTACTGACCAGGGAGTTTACTCCTGCTAGCTGGCTTTCATAGTGCTAGAAGGTACTATGTAGGCTGCATAGGGGGAAATTCATAAATAATCATCCCAGCTCCGAACCCTGTAATCTGTAATAATGAGCGGTGTGGCAAGATATACCCATGCATGAACCAGTGGCTCAGGGAGATAATGTTAGGGAGATAATTAACCACTTTCTGATTGGATTTAAGCCAATCTCCACGGGAGGAAAGGTACACCTGGTACTGTGAATCTCACCAAGAAGCGACGGTTGGGAGGTCACAGGCCCCAGGAGTGAAGCACTGGCTGCTATTCTGCTGAATGGAAATAGTATCAAGCCACCCTCCAAATTCTCACCCTGCACCCATAGATTAGAGCAGCTCCCAGACCTCAGAGACGCTTCCTTGTGCAGTGGACAGCAGTTAATACAAACTTCACAAGTGGTCAAACAAAGTGCAGAGAGTAAGTGCAACGAAGTGCTCTGCACAAATGTGACGTCCATATACAGTACAGCGTATCACACACACACACACACACACACACACACACACACACACACACACACGTATGAAGTGTAATGGCACACAGGACCTGAGAGTTAATATTAGTAATCAAGATTGCAGTAAAACACCCGTGAGGAGCTGGAACGAGACGGATCAGCGGTTCAAGGCATGGCCTGCTTTTTGCAGATGACCCAGGTTCAATTCCCAGCACACACGTGGTGGCTCACAACCATGTAACTCCAGTTCCAGGGGATCTTCTGGCCTCTACAGGCACACAAGTGGTGCACAGACATATATGTAGGCAAGACACCAAAACACATAAAGTAAAAATAAACAAATCTT